AAAGTGAGGAATTAGCTTCTTTTGCATTTTTTTTTTTTTTTTTTTTTCGCCTCCCCACCAACCCCCCCCCGCTCTCGGATGCGGAGCTGACACGGAGAAACGGTGGCGGATCCGTGTGGGGGTGAGGTGGGCAGAGGGTGAATTTGAGAGGGGCATCAGGGCTCTGCTGCTTCCTTGGTTCCCAGGAAGAATTTCCCCACAACGTGGAAAAACGCTCCTCTCCCAGTTAAGGTTTCCAGGGAAAGCAGCAAGTTTTAGTCAAAGAGGAAATTCCCACTTACAGGCGCTGCCATTCATCCCACGCCCCGCTGTCGGGAATGTTCCAGCACTGCCCTGACCCCAGTGTGGGCCAGCAAAGCCCCCAGTGCTGGGGGCTCTCTGTCCCCAACCCTGGTGACACTGCCAGCTCTTGGGGACAGGGAGAGCTGCTGCTCCAGCAAAGCCAGACAGGGATGGAAATGGGGCTGGAAATGCCCATCCCAACCTGGCCTAAAGCCCCACAGGGTTGGGGACACCCCTGGGACACCCCTTCACCTGCAGCCACGGCCCTCAGTGACAAGATGAGGCCAGCCTGGCTATCCTGGGATAACAGCGGGATGTGGGGAGAAAATGCCTCAAAATCTGGGATGGAGGTGGCCAAAGTGAGAGCTGGAGGGTGCCAGCTGTGAGGGGTGAGTGCCACCCAGCTGAGGGGTGAATGTCACCCAGGTGCCACCACCCCTAGGCACCAGAGCAGCACAGGGGCTGTGAGGGGTCCATGTCACCCAGCTGAGGGTGAATGTCACCCAGCTGCCACCACCTCTGGGCACCAGAGCAGCACAGAGGCTTTAAGGGGTGTCACCCAGCTGAGGGGTGAGTGCCACCCAGCTGCCACCACCCCAGGACACCAGAGCAGCACAGGGACAGTGAGGGGTGATTGCCACCCAGGTGCCACCACCCCTGGGCATCAGAGCAGCACAGGAGCTGTGAGGGGTGAATGTCACCAGCTGCCACCACCCCTGGGTACCAGAGCAGCACAGGGACAGTGAGGGGTGAATGTCACCCAGATGAGGGGTGAATGTCACCCAGCTGAGGGTGAGTGCCACCCAGCTGCCACCACCCCCGGGGCAGCAGAGCAGCTGGAACTGTCCTGGCAGGCAGCAGGCCCCTGGGGAAGCAGGTCCCAGCAGTGGCTGGGGACCAGCCCAGCACGTCACGAGTTGGCATCTGCCAGACACCGAGTGAGGAAGGGTTTGACTCACGCCTTGGCCGCCTGCCACCCCGCAGAAAGTGCTTACTAACAGCTCTGGCTGCTCCCAGAAACACCCGGCGCTGCTCCTGCCGGCCAGCAGCATCTCCAGGGGCTGCTTTTCCAGCCTCTAATCCCCGTGCCAGAGGATGGGGCGGGAGCTGCAGGCGGTGGCTGGAAAAGCAGGCAGGTATTCCAGGGAATATTCCCTCCCCGAGCCAAAGCCAGCTGAGGGAAGCAGGACTTGGCCGTGTGGAAGGAGGCAGGAAGGGGAGCGAGGCTCTTGAGAAATTTTTCCTAGATTTTTTTTTTTTTTTTTGGGTTGTTTTTACGGGAAGGGAGTGAACTCCCAGGCGCGAGGCAGAGCGGGGAAAGGCACGGGGTTGTCATCAGAGGGACAGTGCCCTCCTGACCCCGGGGACAGCTGGCTTGGCACAGCCTGGGGACATCCTCTGACAGCCGCCAAACATCCCTGCTCTGGCCGTCACCCAGCCACGAGGTCACTGCAGGAGCCACCGTGTCCCCAAGGGCTGCACGTCACTGTCACTGCACTGGGGCAGCTCCTGGTCCACACCTCAATCCCCCAGATCTCATCCCTGCTGGCTCTGGGATCATTGGGATGAGCACCCAAAGGCTGCTCATCCCTGCTCTGACCCAGCCTCGGGGTTTAACTCCCAGTTAGAAGCAGCAGGAAACATTTTCGTGCTGTTTTTCCTCGTTGTAACTGCTCTTTTCAAATCCAAACCCAACAGAAACAAACTGAGGAGAACAAACTGGGAACAGAAGTGGGGAAACAAGCACAGAGAGCAGCTTTGAGCTGTGCTGTTTTAGGGGCAGGGGATGAGTGAATCCCACCCCAGAGCACCCAATTCTCCCAGCAGAGCAACCCCAGCCCCGCTGGCACATCCCAGCCTCCCTTCCTGCCCTCAGCATCCCGGGGTGAGCTCCAAGATCCAGCTGGCTCAGACACCCTGGGAGTGCTCCCAGTGCCAGGCAGTGATGCCACTGACACTGAGGTGACCCCAGCCACGGCTTAGAAACCCTGAGGGGTGGCAAGGAGCCACCCAAATGCTGCTGTGCCACCCCTGGACCTCGCCAGGCTGGGGATGAGACAATGCACTACAATCTGGCCAGGGTCAGAGGAGAAATAAAGCTCAGCCCCACGTGCCAGGCTGGGTTTAGAGGCTGTGGGTGGTTTTAGGAACAATTTTAGGAACAATTTTAGGAACACTCTGAACAGCCCCAGCATCAAAGCCTCAAGTGCCCCGGGTGGGGTGGCAGCAGGGTGAGCAGGTGAGGGGACACCAGCCTGGAGGACACCAGGCCCTGATGTTCATCTTTGTGTGAAGAAAAGGAGGAATCAATCCCCAGCATGTTCAGCCCAACGAGGATCCTCGTTAGTGCATCCTCATTAGTGCAGCCTCGTTAGCGCAGCCTTCCCGCTGGGGAGGCCCCAATCACACCTGGCTGGGCTCCAGCGCTGCTTGGGGACAGTGGCAGCAGAGGGGACAGCACTGAGCCCCCTCCTCAGTGACCCCCCAGCACCACCGGGGCAGGGTCCCCGTGTCCCCTCCACGGGCTGGCACAGCTCTCACACCCATGATTCCACAGGGATTAAAGCGATTTTGCTCCTCTGTGAGCCCGGAATGTCAATCCCAGAGTGGGCTGGTGGCAGTGACACCGGGCTGGCAGAGCTGGGGGCTTTGGGATGGAGCAGGGATGCTCCAAGTTCAAATGGAAAAACCTCACTGTGAGCCCAGACAGACGGGCTGCTGGATTTTTATTTTTTTTTTTATATATATTTTTTTTTTCCCAGAGAGGGAACACAGAAGGGCTGGTATTGATCTGTCTTCATTACCCATTTCACTCAAGTTTCAAATCAACAAAATACACTTTTCCGCTCTGCTGCCCTCCCCGCTGCAGCAGACAAAAGAAAAGCAATTTCCCGCAGTTTGCTCCAAACTCTTCCCTTCCCCGGCTGCCCTCCAGCCCCTCTCCCCTTCCAGCCACTCGGAGACCCCCAGCTCTGAGGGCACCCAAAAAAAAAAAAAAAAAATCATCATTCCCTGACAACTCAGGGTGCTGCTTTTCCAGCACCTCCTTCCCTGGATCCCAGCAGGACAACGCCCTGCGACACCAAAACTCCCCCAAAAGCAACGTTTTGTCAGTGACCACCAAGCTTCCATGAATTTTAAAGGAATAAACTTATTTTTAAATGTTTTAAAACACCCAAAGATGTGGTTTTGGGTTTTTTTCCCCCTTTCCTGGGCTTTGCTGGATCCCAGCAGGATCCCAGGGGGATCTGCTGCTCCCACCACTCCAGGACAACAACACCCTGCAACACCAAAAGCCCCCAAAAGCAACATTTTGTCAGTGCCCACCAAGTCTCCAAGAGTTTTAAAGTTGCAATGAAATAAACCCATTTTTGAATGTTTTAGAACACTCAAAGATGGGGTTTGGGGGTTTTTTTCCTTTCCTTTGGCTTTTTTTTTCCTTCCCTGGGCTTTGCTGGATCCCAGCACGACAATGCCTTGCAACACCAAAAGCCCCCAAAAGCAACATTTTGTCAGTGCCCACCAAGTCTCCAAGAGTTTTAAAGTTGTAAAGGAATAAACCTATTTTTAAATGTTTTAGAAAACCCAAAGATGGGGTTTGGGGTGGTTTTTTTTTTCTTTCTTGCCCTATAAGTGGAGTGACAACGTGAGACTCCCCCCACACACCTCCAGGCATCTGTGGGAAGAGGGTCCCCACTCCAAAAAAAACCCCAAATCCAAGATGCTGCTGAGCCCAGCAGCCCCGTGGTTGTTTTTAAGCACAGCCTGTTGGGAATGTCATTAATATTCCCTCTGGCTTGGTGCCCCAAAAACGTCCTGTCCCCATCGGAGGGGTGACAAGGAGAGTGGCCAGCCTGGGGGGGGGGGTCTCCTGCTCATCCCCCCAGGATTGGGTGCCTGGCAGGGAGCCGAGGAGACACAAAAATTCCCAATGGATGTGAAAATTCATTCCCGAGCTTGAGGGCGGCATTGCACATCCAGGCTGGCACCCCTAAGGACACCCCAAATTCCCCAACATTCCCATCCTGCTGCCTCCAAACCGAGGCGGGCTGTGCTGGGAGCCAGCCTTCCTCCTCCTCCTCCTCCTCCTCCTCCTCTCGCAGCCGTCCTGGCCAGTCTCATGCACACCACGGTGCCTTAGATAAACTTCCTTTCAAAGGAGTCTGCTTAATCCCCTATCTCCCCTCGCTCCCATCCCGCTCCAGCTGCCGGCGGGGCCGCGGGGGGAGGCGCTGAGTTATGAGCTATTTCTGACTCACGTCTGCAACTTTCACAAGTCCTTTCTGCAACACCGAGAGAGAGAAAAAAAAAAAAAATAAAAAAAAAAAGGGAGGAGGGGAAGGAGGGAAGGAGGGAGGGAGGGAGATCCAGTTCGCTCCGGCAAAAGCCGCTGGCCAGATGGGCAGGCAGGGGAAGGGAGGATGGGATCCAGCCGGGAATGCCAGGGAGAGCAAGGAGGGATGAGGAGGAGGAGGAGGAGGAGGAGGAGGAGTGCAGGGACACACACCCACGGAGGGGAGCGAGGCGCCGGTTACCGGAATCTGACTTCACCCTCGCCGCCTTTGTCCTCTGCAGACATTTTCCATGCAGTGACTGCATTTCCTTCCTGCCGGCACCGCTGGAAAAAGCCGCCTGTTTGTGCACCAGCAGCCCTGACTAATTCCCAGCGCTCCCACCCAGCTGCTGCTCCCCATCCCGGGGGGGTTCTGGGCTCTGCTGACCCCCGGCAGCTCCGGGATTTGCTGCTGGAGGGCTCAGCAGTGCCCAGGCAGGAGAGGATGCCAGGATTGCCCATCCCATCCCAGCTCCTGCTGCCACCCGGCTCAGCCTGGCACAGGCAGGACCTCCAGCTCCGAGAGCGCTTGTGCTAATTACTTTCCTTTGTTAATTAAACCCACGTGGCTCTAATAAGGTAACCTGCTGTTCTCCGATAAATTTAATTAGCCTGAAGGGAGAGCCCCTCCGCACAGCTATTTAAATTGTCACTTCCCATCGCTTGGGCTTTGCTTCTCCCTGCCTCCCCCTCTCTCCACATTTCACCTCAGCCCTGCCCATTTTCTGCCCCGTTCCTTTGGCAGGGAAGGGAGCCAAGGGGAGGTTCCCCAGCCCTGCAGGAGCAGGATGTGCCCACCCAAAGCCCATTTTCCTGCCACTGCCACAAATCCCCATCCCAGCTGGGCCTCTGTCCCATCCTGGAGGACCTGCCCTGGCTCCAGCCCCAAGGATTGTTCCCTTTTCCAGCCCTGTGCCACCCTCACATCACCCAGCATCGATCCTGGGATGCTCCAACCCCGGGAAACTCTGTGCCCCAAACACTGTCCCAAAAAGCGGTGACACACAGTGACCACCCTTCCCCATTCCCACACACGAAAAAAACCTCCCAAGAAACTTCTGGAGCTTTCCACAGGATTTAACTGCTGGACTGCTCCAGCCACGGAGGTGACAGGGTTCTGTGGTGTCCCAGGAGGGGTGACAGGGCTTTGTGGTGTCCCAGGAGGGTGACAGGGGTGTGTGGTGTCCCAGTAGAGGTGACAGGGACCTGTGCTGTCCCAGTGGAGGTGACAGGGGTCGGTTCTGTCCCAGGAGGGGTGACAGGGGTGTGTGATGTCCCAGGAGGGTGACAGGGGTCTGTGGTGTCCCAGCAGAGGTGACAGGAGTCTGTGGTGTCCCAGGAGGAGGGTGCTGTCCCAGTGGAGGTGACAGGGTTCTGTGGTGTCCCAGGACAGGTGACAGGGCTTTGTGCTGTCCCAGGAGAGGTGACAGGGACCTGAGCTGTCCCAGTGGAGGTGACAGGGGTGTGTGGTGTCCCAGGACAGGTGACAGGGGACACTCCCACGTGCTGGGGGCTCACCTGCACCGCTGGCTGCTTGCCCTCGTTGCTGCTGGGGGAGCTGAGCCCCGTGGCTTGCTGCAGCAGGAACTGCCGAGCCACCTGCAGAGCCTGCAAGAGAGACACAGGGGTGGGCACGAGGAAGGCTCCCCCCTCCTCCTCCTCCTCCTCCTCCTCCTCCTCCTCGGGGCTGGCTTTGGTGCTCCCTCCTGCCACACCAGTCCGACCAGTACATCCCAGCAGAGACCATCCCAGCCCCCACGGGGACCGTCCTGTCCTCTTCCAAAAACCCCCAGCAGCATTGCCACGTCACACGGGCCATTGCCACGTCACACGGGCCATTGCCACGTCACACGGGTCATTCCCACGTCACACGGGTCATTCCCACGTCACACGGGCCATTGCCACGTCACACGGGCCATTCCTACGTCACACGGGCCATTCCTACGTCACACAGGCCATTCATTCATTCCCAAATCCCAGCCCTGGCACAAGCACCTGGGGATCCTGGCTGATTGATGCCAGAGCCACCGTGGGTATTTGATTTTATTAACTGGATTGTGGCACTGGAGAAGCAGAAAATTGCAGTCACCAGCCAGAATCCAGCCTGGATCAATCCAGGAATGTGCCCAAATGGATCTGGTGGTGATTCAGTTTTCCTAGAAAAAAGTGATGAGTTTCTTCAAGTTTTTTACAGAGGTGAAGGTGTTGCACTGAAAATCCCACAAAAATGGGGGAAAAATTAATAGAAATGGATAAAATGCACTTGTGAAAAACACAGGTACAACAGAGCCATGCCCAGCACTGTGGGAAGATGGAGAAAAGGGGGGAAATTAAGGAAAAAATCCTGTGAAGGGATGAGGAGGAGAGAGGAGAGAGTGTGAGCTGGGAGCCAGGAAAAGGAGTAAAACTCTGAGGAAAACAACCCAGAGCTCCCAGACCTGCTTGCCCCTTATTCCTGCTTTAAAAGGATTCTTTCCCTCTCTTTGGGGTTTTTTGGGGCACATTTCTGAGAAAATCTCCACTCTCCTTTCCCCCCTCTCCCAAATCCACTCACAGCTCAGCACATGCCTCAATCCAAACCAAGGAAAATCCACCTGGCCCACGTGGAAAATGAGAGGGAATTTCCAGTTGGGGGCTGAAGGTTTAACAGACCCAGCCTTGCTTTATTAAAAAAAAAAAATTAAAAATTGTAATTTTATAGCAGGAGACCCAAACCAAACACCCCAGACACAGCACTGGGCACCCTTGGCCGAGTTTGTCACCATCACATGAACCAGACAGCCCCAAGAAAAATCAAAACCTGAGGAATTTTTATAAATGAATGGATCCAAATTCCCTCTTCCTGTGGTGAATTACCAGAGCTCCATCCCAGGATTGTGCACCCAGAGCTGCCCCATGGCCACTGAGCACCCCCAACCAATAACTCCCAAACTTCCTTTACCCAAATAATTAAAAACTCAACATTCTTGAGGACAAACACAGCAATTCACCACTGGGAATCCCTGATGGAAAAATCCCATGGTCCAGATCCCAGAGCTGCCTCCTGAGCCCTGATGTTTCCCCACAATTTTTATTTTCCCTGTTATTAGCAGGGATAGATGTGCACAAAACCCCTGTGACAGTTATGACAGCTCGAGCTCTGATATTTTAATTACTTTTGGGCATGAAAACAGTAATTCCAGTTAAAAGCCCAAGGTGGAGGAATCCACTTGGAGGCACCCACCAGGATGGGTGCTGGAGTTCCCACAGCAAATCCCTGAGCTCCAGCTGCTTTTCCAAATCTCTTTTTTTTTTTTTTTTTTTTTGCGGGCACATTTCTGAAAAATCTCCATTCTCCTTCCCCCTCTTCTCTCCCAAATCCACTCACAGCTCAGCACATGCTTCAATCCAAACCAAGGAGCACCCACAAAACCCCAACCCAGAGCCTCTCCTCAAATGAAAAAGTCATTCCCTGAATTTTAAAATTCCCATTTCAGGTCCTCCCTGCGTGGAGTTTTACATGGATTTGCCTTCTCCAAGTTCAATTCCAAGCATCAGAGTGAGGGCAGGACCCTGGCAAAAGGATGGATAAACCAGAGGG